ACTCGCAAAGAGTGTAATGGAACGTATTCCATTGCACTGTTGGAAAATGGAATTTTCTATTCAATATCACGTGACCATAAACAGCCAATTAAACGATCAGAATTCATTAAGGTATTATATAATAGTCTATTTTGGTATTATATAAATATGTCGCCTCTTTGAATGGAACATTCTATCTTTCACCTCATGAAAATATTCTTACACTATTGCACTCATAAACATTCGTTATTTGTATAATATATATCAATGGCCATTCGCACGCCCTTTAAAGGCTGCTACTCGATCCTTCCCGCGCTATCTCACACGTGACTCCTTTGCTTCTAACCAATAACTCGTAGAATTTCAATCAAACTTTACCGTAAAGGTAAGTCTCGTTTAATTTTCTAATTATTAGTGGTGATTTGTGACGAGACAGTAATAATTATATAAACTAATACAATGATGTTTACAATGGCTGTCACAGTTCTATGTTTAATTTCATACATCCTCGCCCCAATTTTGCTTGGATGTTTTGGCTGTGTTCTCTTTTTTGTCGCATATTTGTATTATGTTCACAAAATCAATGATCATTTACCAGGACCACCTCGTTCGAGTTTCATATCGGGTCACCTCCCAGACATGTGGAAATACAAAGCTGAAACTGGTAGGACGACGAGCGAGTTTCTACTGAAAAAACGACTCGAATACGGGCCAATATTTATATTATTTTTTATTCGCAAGCCTATTGTATTTCTGGGAGACGCTACCTATTTGCGACATGTTTACATAAATAATCATGCCAGCCTGTTTAAAAGTTCATTTTTCTATCCTAAATTTGGTTTTGTTTATGGTGAGAGGGGAGCTGGTTATGGACTGGTATCGAATACAAATGAAGCATCGTGGCGGCAACTTATGAATCCAGCTTTTCACCGTAAGTGTCTGAAAGACTTCATGAATAATTTTAATAATGTTTGTGACATCTTTATGACTCGCCTGGATAGAGTTGTTGATGGTGGTAAGCCGACCAGTATGCTGCAGGAATTTACAAAGGTCACTTTGGAAGCTATGAGTCAAGTGTCCTTTAATATCAATACCCACGCTATTGAAGATACCAATTCCCCATTTCCGGGAGCAATACGGCACTATCTGTGCGGGGTGCAGGACAACATTGATATTCCCCTCCACCCCGCCCTCCTGGGAATATTCCAGTTCAAGCTGTTTCAGAATGTTATCAAAAGAGAGCAAATTGATGCAGCGCGATTTCTCAGGAAATTTGCCTCTGATTGTACCACCACTCGGATGAAGGACATTGCTGACGATAAAGCCGTCCCTGATGACTTATTGAGTCTCTTGATTAAAGATGGCAGTTTGACATTGGATGACATCATTGATGAGTTTGTGACCATATTCCTTGCCGGACAAGAGACAACTGCAAATTCATTGTCATTTACCTTGTATGAAATTATTAGAAATCCCCATGTTGAAGCAAAACTTTTAAACGAGGTTAACGAAGTGCTTGGCGGTCGTGATTATGTGGAGTTTGAAGATTTGGCAAAACTGAAGTATCTTGGTCAAGTTTTGGAGGAATCTTTGAGAAAATATCCTGTAGCACCAGCACCTTCTAGAGTGCTAGCAAAAGATATTACAGTTGGGGGATATCATATTCCAAAAGGAAATGGAATTGACAGTCTACAGATATTTTTTTCAATGAATCCTGAAATTTGGGAGAATCCAGACGTTTTTGACCCAGAAAGATTCTCTGAAACCAAAAACATTCCAAATTTTAGCATGACCCATTTCCCCTTTTCCATTGGCCCACGTAATTGCATTGGACAGACATTTTCCAAGTTTGAATCACAAGTTATCCTTGTAAAATTACTGCAGAAGTTTCAGTTCAGGTTATTGCCTGGTCAGACTAATAGGGTGAAAGCAAGACTAACAAGTACTCCTCGAGATGGTGTGATGTGTGAGGTCACTAGACATGAATAATGGGAGGAATATCCTTCATTGAATACTCAGGAATTGAAAGTTTACTGAGGCCTTGATGGCGCTTTCCATTTGATGTGAATTCCAGAAATCTTGCTTGAAAATCAAATGGAACACGTTAATTTCTTTTTACATTCCATTAAAAGCATCACGAGCAGAAACCGCTACCAAAACGAAAATGGCAGGTTCTCGACTCGAGTCTGGATTTATTTTGCCGAATGCTGAAGGAAGAGATTTGAGCGGCAGTGTCAAATTCTTCAAAATAAAGGAACAGCATTCCAGAAATTAACGTGTTCCATTTGATTTTCAGGCAAAATGGAAAGCGCCCAACAAGCCTCCCATTATTTACAAGGCCGTCACGTTGTAGCGTTCCATTTTGCCACTGGACATTCCGGAAACGCAATCTGGGTTTTTTGTTCAAATGGAAAGCGCCCTGAATTTATCATTTTCTTTCACATTGATGAATATTTAAGCTAGTAATAATGTATTATTAAAACAAATATATTTAATGTTAGCAATTATTTATTATCGTTGACATTGATAAATGACATTGTATAAGTGTTAGGCAGTGTTAAGCAACTATGTTTACACATTGACATTGTGATTTGTTGAGACAATCAGACAAACCCAGTTTTTTGTTTTTTACCCTCAATTGAAAATATTTGTCATTCGCGAAATAACGGCTGGCGGGACACCGGTCAAGGTGACCGGCCAACTAAATTTTAGCTCGGACATACCAAATTTCTGGCCGGTCAAATTATTCAGGTTAAAGGAGCAGTATCACGTTGTGCGCATCCCTGCTGCGCATCGCAAACTTGAAATTCTACACTTGTATTTTTTCAAGTTTGTAAATCCAAGATGGCGGCCGCACCTGGTGCGACGCACGGGGGAAAACGAAGGAATTCAGGCAGAAAGAGAAAATACGAACGTTCTAACAGCGCACAATTAGTTTGGAATCGCCAACATAAACAAATTTATTTATCGTTGACGATTTTTAAATCGTGGAAAGATGCGAAAAATCAGGCTGGATACGGTTCTAGTACTGACAGTGAATTTGCTGCTCATTTGTTGTCATTAGAATACCGCAGAAGGTGTGTAGAGTTTCATTATTTTTTATTTTGCTTCAGTAGTTTGGACCTTTTATGGAGAATATGATTCGCATACCCTTTAGGTCAGATGTTGATGTTTCGAGGCAACGAAAAGAGAGAATGCAAGCAGAGAACGCAAATGCAAATATGGTGTCAAATATGCAAGGCAAGCAGTAAAAATTTACATAAATATTTTATAGTATTCAATGTGTGATGCCATGTGGTTCAAAATAAATTAATAAATCGCGATTGCCGATTTATTTAGGCGATGCGGAAACCTCTACCCCATGTAAGCAAGGTAATCGTGTGCCTCTGATTTTGCCCTCATTATCTCCAGTTGTTGACAAAGGACAAAATATCTCTGACTCTATGGAAATAGATCAACATCACGAGGGAATGAGTGGTAATTTGGAGTGTGATATATCACCCCATAAAAGGTATATACATATTTATGTAATAGGTAATTGTTTGTTTAACAAGTAATAAGCTTTGAAAGTATATAATTATACGGTACTCAATTTTCTTTTCATCCAATTCTAGTATAATCGATCAAACTAATACGTCCACAAAAATGAATGCATCATTGTTCACTGATGATGAAGGTGAAAGCACTGATACTGCAGACAGCTCTGAGCAAGAGTACAGGTATAGTTTAAGAATTTTATATAACAATCAAATTATTTGATTTGCACATGTGGGGGCAACTGAAATACAGTTACTGATACATGACACATGCTTTTAATGTCCCTTTTATTTGTAGTCGACAACATGATCTTTCACAGTAAGCCATTGGAGACCTGAATGCTGATAGAGAACTGGGAGAATATGATTCAGAAGATAGTGGGTAAGATAAATATATAAATGTTTTAGTTAAGCTATTTCATTAACAGTAATTTTAGTATAAAATGTAATCAGTTTGTTGTGTTAGAAACAACACTGTCTGTTTTTTTTTTAGAGCCATCCATTTAAAATCCTCGGGCCCTCCTGCAACAAAGGAAATTGTCCAAAGAAAGAGCAGATTTGCAAGTGACGACAAATCATCAAAATGAAACTACAACATTATTAGCCAGTGAACCATATATATTACCCAAATATTTTTACTACATATATTTACATTTAACTTAACTATTATAGTACAAGACCCTGCACATAAGAACTTGTGTTTTTCAAGTTAGCCTAAACAGGTTATTATATAAATGGTGCTTATCATGAAATAAGGGTAAAGTAAACAGGTTCTTATTTTATAAAGAAAAGCACCTCAAGGTACAGTTGTGGGTACAGGTTAATTTTTGTTGGTGTGTTCAAACAGACATGCTGTTTATTATGTTTGTGTGATGTTACTCTGAGTGTATATCCACACCCGGCAGGCTTGAAAAATATGCCTGGCCACAGAATCGAATCCCACCATGGCCAGTCATATTTTTCAAGCCTGTCCGGTGTGGATATACACTCAGAGTAACATCACACAAACATCTTATTCACCTGAGCACATCACAACAGCAGATTTCATGCTGTTTATTGTTATGACATATCCAGGACTCTGACTCATTTTCATTACTGTGTGAAGAGTTTATTTTCTTTGATGTTTAAATTTTTACTCTTATGAGCTAGTGACAAAAACAAAATAAGCATCTGTTTGAAACTTTAGCCTACAGGTTCTTATATAAAGGGGGTCTAAATAAGCAAATTTAACATAACAGGTTCTTAAAATCTACTATACATAGGTTCTCATATGTGGGTTCTTGCTGTATTAAAAATTAATGGTCTCTATATCCCATGTAAACACCAGTAACTGATGGGTACTGTTCTCTAATTTTTAAAACCACACAGGATGGACAAATTCGTCTATTCCCTTTGCCTAGAAAGCCATGGCGTGCTAAAATAAACTGTCTATAACCAGCTTTGCGAAATGCTCTTGTGCTGTTGTCCTCTCTATCATTACGGATGTCACTCCTATTGCGGATACAAAGCTCCAGCACATCTGGATCAAGGCATAATTTTGCAAAACGGGAAGTTGAGGTTATGCATTTCTTTTGCCTACAACATTTGTTCTCAACCTCTTGTGGCATTGGTCTGCATTTGCCACATGTGCACCAATCTGGCACCGATTCAAGTGTGGGTTCTGGTGTTGGATTTGGGTCTTGAGGGTGGGAAGGACTCTGAGAAGGGTCTGTACCAGAGTTTAATGGATTATCATTGGATGATTCACCAAATGCAGCTAACCTTTCTGCATCCTGATCATCTTCATCAAGGTCATCCTCCATTATCATTAGTGTGTCGATGTAGTCCATACTACCAATACCTCTGCGTAAACTACGAATAGCTAGCTTTTTCACCGTATTGGCGTCTAGTGTAGATATCAATTTCTAAAATAAATACAGTGCTGTCAGTAGAACAAGATTTAATAGTTATCAATGCAAAACCCTGACAAGACATTGTATACTGTATATGTTATGCTACTACTAGATATGTGTAATATGAAATCATCAATTGTTCTTTTATATTATTAAAATATTATTTTAAAGTGAAGTACATACATTTAAAAATGTTGGAAGCGAAACCAGGATTCATAATTAATTGTGTAAACGTTCTCTGGTTAAAAAAGATTTATTTATTAACAAGCTTTCGACTGCCAGTCTGCAGTATTCGTCTACATAAATCTACAGTCTGCAGTCTTCAATCTGCAGACTGTAGATTTATTATAGTCTACAATCTGCAGTCTTCGTCTTCATAAATCTACCCGTCGAAGACTGCAGACTGGCAGTCGAAAGCTTGTTAATAAATAAATCTTTTTTAACCAGAGAACGTTTACACAATTAATTGAAGTACATACGACTCTGTAGTCGCGTGAGTAAGGCGAAAACCTTGTCTTGGATTTCCTGCTGTTTTGCGTTTTAATTGTCTTTCAGGAATAGCGGCTGTTCCCTATATCAAAGTCAGACAAATTATTTATTATAATTCCTGGAATATAAACAAAGTTGTGAACATATAAAAGTTTAGATTGCTTTACCTTATTTTGGCAAGGTTTTGCACGCGTGCCACAATGACATTCTGCCGAACACACTACATTTCTACCTTTACACGGACAACCTCGGGTTCCATTTGGCTTTCTTTTAGTGCTGCAAGAACTCTTACAATCACAACGACTTCCCTATGTAAACGGATATATCATTGTTCAATTGGATTCGTATTGCTTTACAAAAAAATATGTAAAATATGCATATTTTGACTTACCTCAGAATTCATTATACAGCTTCGAAACAATGGCGGATTATGTCGTCCGAGCAATTTCCGA